GTGTGTGTGTGTGTGTGTGTGTGTGTGTGTGTGTGTGTGTGTGTGTGTGTGTGTTTGGTTGAGTGTTTGGATATGTGTTTTTTCTTAATATTCCCTTGGTATGTGGATGGATAAGGATTTGCTGCATTTTGAATTGACTGTATGTAGTGAGTCCTTTTGCTGAAGGCTACACTTTTATGCTGATATGTCCCTCTTTCTTTGTCATTCTACTGAGAAACCAAAAAAAATGCAAAAAAAAATGCATCAGTGGATGTGTTCTGTCTAATGGAAACATTCACAGCACTTATCCTGGCTAATGAATAGAATGCTGCTTGTCTTGTGGATGGGAAAGACCTTCTTCATTTATTTGTTCCTCTATTCTTCCTGAAATTTCGCAACTACCAGAAAGGTGCTGATTGATAGGTGTAAACATGTTTACCAGTTTCATGCCGTCTGAAATGGCAATCTGTAGGCTTAATGAAGAGAATGCTGAGCATCACTGTGAAACTCATAAATCACTGTGAAAGGTATGGCTTTCAGAGGAGAACCCTGAGTGGATTGATTAATATTTAAGCAGGATGAGCAGCACAAAATATTAATTGCCATAGCTTTAGTTCTGTCAAAAACTCTTTCCATAACTTTATTTTTGCCTATTGTTCTGTTCCCCTGAAGGGGAGATAGTGCTTTGCCTCAGGGCTCTCTTTTGTGAAGCCTCAGAAGAAGCAATTTGGAAATTTGCATAAATGGGCTGCAATCTCTTTCTCAGTGCTAAAGCACTTGCCTCACCTGTGTGAGGCACTGGACAAGATTCTTAGCAACACTTAATCAAAAGAAAGATATTGTGCATCAATCCAAAATTCATATTATTTGAAAAGAATAAAAAACTCTGGCTGGAGTCTCTCATTTGCATTATATTAGGTTCCAAGTTTCATGCAATGAGAAGAGGGACCCTTTAGGTTCAATGAGTTAGTCCTGGTTCTGAAGTAGCTAGAAAATAGGTGTTGGAGTTCTTTCTGGCTAAAATATACACAAGAAACCCACCATTGGCAGACACTAGTCATCTAACTTGTGTTGAAGGGCAGAATTAACTCTTGGCCCATTTTCATTTTCCTCCAGTATGGCCTCAAGCAAGTTATTTCCCCTCATCCTGATAAACAGAGTGAAGTCCCTGGCAGGCTGTCCTCGCCTGATAAAAGGGAAAGGCAAGAAGATCAGGGTGGAGACCACCAGACCACATCTTTCTGACCCCAGGGTAAATGATGTCATGGAGAAATATTGTGGTAACTGATGAAGATTGAAAGGGGAGTCAAAAGACCCCAAATTTAGTATACATAATAAAGCTGATGAACAGGGATTCAGCCAGTCAAAACAAGGATGCACTCGAGCTGGAGAGCCTGATGAGGACTTGACATCCAATCACTTGTCATTCTTCCTGATCCTCTGAGTGATTCTCACCACTCTCAAAATTTACTGTTTCATCTGTACCTCGGTGAGAGCCATAATTTCTCCCTATGACCCTCTCCTCAACTGGTCAGCCACTCCACTCCAGGAAAAGCCTGCCTTGGTTCTGGACCTGATCACCGTGGTCTAAGTGAGTGCATCTGCTGGACATAAAGCCTAAGGCTTAAGACTTTTGAACTCAGCATGCAGAGGGAATGTCTGTCCTTAGCCTGTCATGATTAATTGTGTTTTTGCAGTGTTTAGAATTAATCTAGAGTTGTTTCCTGTGAATTGATTAATCTAGAATTGTTTGCTGTGAATTGATTATGTCTATTGCAGTGCCTAGCATTAAGGATTGTCATTTTCTTGATTAAGAACCTATAGAGTAAAACTGTATTGAGTAATTTCAGTGAATAAAGTATTGAAAGAGGCAGAAGCATGTAGACATTCTTTATTTCTCCCCTAGACTGCATATGTCACAATTTGGCCCCCCTCATGACAGTTGGCATACTCAGCAGTCAAGGAAACAGATACTTAATGTCTGGGAGAAATGTCTTGTCCTGCCTGTGTGGCAACAACATACAAAATTCAGAAACTTTTTTTATAAGACTGTTAAACTTATTATGACATTTATATTGGCAATTATAGCAATAACCTAACCGGATATTACACCTTCTGCAAAGACATGTATCAAATTGGTAATAACACCATACAGATACACCATCATATAGCAAACTACACAATGTGCTTCCTAGACAGATACATACAAAAGCACATGAACTGGATAGGAAAGATACCTAGAAAATCAAATTGCAAAAGCACTAAAACAAATAGACACAGATACATCTTTTGTGAGGTATTATAGTAAAAAGTATACTAAATTGGTCTACAGCATATTGACAAAATGAGGAAATTAAAGAACATCTTTAAAAAGAAAGAAAGTAGCAAGGAACTTAGCTCTGCTAGTCCCTGGAGAGAACAGTGCAAGGGAAACTGCCAGGATTTACCAAGAGAACTAAAGGAATCGATATCCTCCCTATCCCACCCAGAGGGAGTTAAGCCAATTATTGCTAGAGCCACTCCAAAATAAATCCCAGGATTGCTAGTTAAAACTATTAATGACATATGTGAAGTTAGAACTAAAGGAAAAACCTTAGTAGGAACGGCAAAAAAGTCACCCAGACAATTGTGAAGTTTTACTGGTAACTACACTAAAGGTGACCAAAATGCCAAGGAAAGGGGGTCAGATGATAGTGATAATGAACAGGAAGTTGAAGTGAGAACTTTTAGTAGAATACAGCTGCAGCAGTTAAGGAATAAATTTGCCCAGAAGGGAGGGAGCGAGATGTAGAATTTTTATCAAGACTGTGGGAACATGGAGCCCACACCATTAGAGTTAAGGGAGATGAAATGATGCAATACCCTCTATAGTAAAAAATGAATCTATATATGAGGGTTTAGTGGCTGAAACTAGTGAGAAAAGGTTGCAGGAACACACTATCCTGGAATGGATAAAATTAGCTTGAGTGTGGGCATTTCCCATGATAGATACAGGCAGTTTTGGATCACAGATACAATGGATTACACATCAACAGGCTAATAAATTAACTAGAAAATTAGGAATATATTTTATGATATACAATACACACACACACATACACACACACACACACACACACACACACACACACTCATACATGTAACATGACGTTACAGGCAGAGCTGTTACCTCAGATGAAAAGTCTAATAATTATAGGTGGTCCACCTCATCTCTGAGTAACTTTAACATCAGCATTACAAGGCATGCATACACAACAAGATGTAGTTACTTATTTTAAGGAAGCTAAATAGCTGAATAGTGCTAGATCTTTTTCTTTCCCAGCTTAATCCTCATCACAACAGTTTACTGTTCCAGCTTAGTCCTCACAAAACCAGATTAGATTCCCTAATCATAACAACAGACAGCAAAGGCAGCCTTGTGTAAACACAAAGCCACCCAGAAGAAAGGCCCTGTCAGGGAGGGGTTTCACACCCAGGAGGCCCAGGAGCAGTACACCATTAAGAAGACAAGGCCAGAGACTCCACTCAGGATGCAGAGTTCATTCAAACAGAGGACCCATACCAAACAACAAGCAAAGAAGAAAAAACAACAACTTACCCAAACACAACAGCAACTTCAGGCACACAAACACACCAATTTTAATAGGTACATGACGTTCAACAGACAAGGAAACCAGGAGTCAGACAACATTTTCAATATTATAACAACCTGGGAATAATAGAATATATAGAGATTTACCTTTAAAAAACAGGAAAAATAGAAACACAAAAATTCCTAATAGATATAGGAAGCCAAGTAACTATTTTGGGAGTGACATATAATATTATGCAAAATGATCATAAGATAATAGAAATAGGAAACAGAAATTAATGCAAAATGAAAAATGTAACTATATCTTTATGGGACAGAGAAATCATTAAAACCATGACACTGTTAGCTGAAACATCTTTTAAGTTCCTAGGGATGGACATTATACCTAAAATTTTTCCATCATCGATAACCTACAAAAAGTTTAAAAATAATATGCCCAAGTCTCAGACACACCTAGCTTCTTTACTAATGGACCCTGTAGTCCTACCTAAAATTAAACATTGCTCCACAAAGTAATATCCAATAAAAGGAGGACACACTGAAATAACTAATAAAATTGAAGAATTGTTAAGGGAAGACATCATAGAAAGACATATATCATTTGACTATAATAGCCCAATTTGGCTTATTTTAAAACCTAATGGTAAATGGAGATTTACAGTAGATTATAGAGCAGTCAGTGCACTGACACCACAGATGCCAGGAGGCTTACCAAACATTACCACAATATTACAACAAATACATTCCAACAATTTTAATTTTTTTGTAAATATAAATTTGTCAGGTATGTTCTTTGCTATCTCCAAAGCAGAAGAATCTATAGATAACCACATTTTTGTGAAATTCTGTGCAGTATCGCTTCAAAAGTATAGTACCAGATCAAAAAGATTACCACAAGGCTAATAATAGCCCACTAATAATGCATATTGAACTATCAGAATCCCATAAGGATCTTAGAATTAAAGATGTCTCAGTATATATATATGTAGATGATATACTAATAACAGGATATGATAAACAACATCTGCATAAAATGTAAGAGAAAGTAATGAAACATCTGTTAGTAAAATGATGGACAATCAACAGAGAGAAAGTACAGGGACCAGATCAAATGATATTTTTTTTTAAAGAGAGTGAGAGAGGAGAGAGAGACAGAGAATTTTTTAATATTTATTTTTTAGTTCTCGGCAGACACAACATCTTTGTTGATATGTGGTGCTGAGGATCGAACCCAGGCCGCACGCATGCCAGGCGAGCGCGCTACCGCTTCAGCCACATCTCCAGCCCAAAATGATAAAATTTTTAGGAGTTTTGGTTACAGCAGAAGAAAGGCAATCCCAGATTAAAGTATAGATAGAATATTGGGACTACAACCTCCTACCAATAATAAAGGAGCTCAATAATTGATAGGAATATTATACCATATTTAAATCTTATTTTACAACCAAAATATGCAATAACAAGGAAAACACAGAAATTTATCTGGGAATCACATCACCAAAAACCTTGAGATATATTAAAACAATATATAACAGAATTTAGAAACTTTCATAACCTCCAAGGAACTATGATAGGGGACACCATTTTCACACAGAACTAAGGTTTATGGGTACTTTATAATAACAAAACTAAGCCCCATCCAATAGGATTCTTTTATAAAAGATTTCCATATGCATTCAATAGAGATTCATTATTTGAAAAATTGGCATGGGTTGCTTTTGAGGCACTAAAACCAGCTAAAAGCATGACCAATGATCACATTATATTAAGAACTCCAATTTCACTTAAAGACTGGTGTAAATGCATCCCCAAAAGACACAAAATATTGGATAGAAAAAGAAAGTCCTGATGTGGCAATGGTACCAACAATTTCTAGAAGAGTAGGTTCAGAAACTAGACACATATAAAATTACAGAAGAAGTAGCAAAGCTACCATTTGTACCATTGCTTGATATCCCAACACAACCCACATTGAATAATATAGGCACATGGGGGCCTGGGCACAGTACCAAAATTAACATAAAAGTTACACATGTAGATGCACAACAAACATGTAGATGCACAACAAACAGGGTCACAGACACCAGTACACTTAAACAACACAGTAGATAAATTATCAAAAATAGGTACAATCAAGCTACAAAGGCATTGGGAACTAAAACTCACCAAATATCTATTTAAACGCAAATTTAAAGGAACATGGAAAAACATCAAACATGATAACACAGTAATAAACATTACTGAACATGGTATTATGAAGTTACATGAACAATTAAGTCCTATAGGAGTACATGCATTATATGACTGGTTCCAAAGACGGAACTTAGATGTAACATGGAATGCCATCAAAACTGCTTTACACAGGTGTACCACATGCCCAAAAATGAAATTGAGATTTAATCTACCTAAAATTCCCCAACCATATTTAGAATATAAAATCTTAATTATAGAATACAAATTGACTTTATAGGACCTCTTAAGGATTTCCATAATAAGTATGTTGCCACATTGGTGGACACATGTACAGGTATTGAGATGACACTTGCAGCTAAGAAACCAACACAACACATAACCATAGAACTTATCCTATGTTGGATAGCAGCTCATGGCATACCCACACAGAACAATTAGTCAAACATCTAATAACAATTCTTGATATACAATGGAATTATCATTTGTCATACAATCCAACAGCAACAGGGAATTTAGAAATATGGAATGGATTACTTAAAAATGAACTGTTTTCACACAAAGGTGAACCCTTACAGAAAGCCTTACAAGAAGCTACAATGAATTTAAACAATAGACTTGGAGAAACAGGCTCCCCCCAGTTGGGGAAGTTATACCTAGACAAAGTATTCTCCTCACTTTTAATATGCAAGATAACCCCATATTATTACCATACAAAATAAACAAAATAATCAGGAGACATAGGAAAGATTCTAGCACTACACCAGGAGAAATCATATTATAAGGCACAGAAAATACTGTGTGGACATCATCAGGAAGAGGAGAGTTAAAACTCACCAAAATAAAAGACATATACTAATAACCTCTTTCCTCTCTGTACAGGCAGACAGACATGACATTCACACAGTGACAATGTATGTACTGATGCATCAAATATTGCTTTTATCAATACCATTTTTGACAGCACAGACATCACACCCTAATCCTACACTGTCAATATAGAGTGTTGATATTAATAACATATGGCCTATAAAGAACAAATACATTGAAACTAACAGAATAGTAGATAGTGAGAGATATAATTTGTTCAGACATTCATAACTAAAGACTTTTTCTCAAAATATGCTCATTGTAGAACAGACATATACCAATATCTTAGTTGTGATGAATACTATAAAACCACCAAAGCATTATCACCACTGGCACACAGAGATTTAACTGACACAAATACTTTAAGATGTACATACATTGAATATTATAGAAACTTAACTTCCCTGGAGGCCATTTACCCCTTCTGCTTCACTTCACTTAAATCCACAGAAAAAATTACTCACAGAATTCAAACCTAATGGAACACAGACAACATACATATATGAATACATTACACAAGAACCTATATTTTAAGCAAACGGGTTACAGAATTAAAATTCCTACCACTTTTCTTTTCACCTATGCTCCCACAAACCTCGTGTATAGAGATAAATAACAAGCAATGCATTTTAATATGCACATACCCCAATGGGGATAAACCCTAAGAACCTCCTACACAGACCAATTACATAATCAAACCATATTATTCTGAGAAATAATTCCATCATTACAATCATTCAGCATTTAT